GTGATGTTGTTTATAGTGACCATAAACTTATATACGATCCATGTTAACTTATTTGTCCTTTGAATAGATATATTCTGAAAGGTTATATTTTTAACAATGATGTAATATCTTTAAATATATCTTTGAATATCGTCCTCTCCGGTACTACATTGTGTTTTTGATAAATTAAAACAAGACTAAATATGTGTTGTAGTTATGAGCACTCTTTTTTTCCCTATTTCTCTTTCGAGCTGTTTCCTATTTCAAAAATTAATCCCCAGTATTATGTTGGGTTTATTGTGCGCAAATTTTACCTATAGTGTAGTCTCTTTTCCTCTGTTCGTCGAGAAAGAAATATAGAAATATAATTATATTTTGATTAACAATTGATATGTAAGAGAATGATGTATTTTGTGTATTCAAATCACTAGTCCGTCTATAAACAAAATCTCATCACAGATACCAGGTTTTGTATGCAAGACGCATGTTTCGTCTACAAAAAACTGATCAGTGATGCTCGATTCAAAAAAGTTAAAAGGCCAAATAAAGTTCCAATTTAAAGCACACTGAGGATAAAACATTCCGAATGGGTTTGCCAAATACAGCTATTAAATGATCATAATTTAAATTATCTACTATTCGGTTATAAAGGAAATCAAATTAATAAATAAATAAAAAAATATTTTAAAAGCAATCCCTTTTCTTTTGGGGGTTTTCAGATGTGTTCTAAGTTGGAGTTTTAAAACATAAATAATACAAGGCAACATTATTATACTGAACATTTTTATTGTTAAAAATTGTATATGACCAACATTATGTTAGCCTTAACGCATGGATCTTTGATTTAGAGTCTGAAGTCCCAATCCAGAGTTTGTCATCATCGTCATTACTAAGACTGCAAGGGAAGTATATACCTAGCTCCGAGATTAACTTACATATTATAATCTCTCCAGTAAGGCTTAATATATGAAGGGCATGATTGTTACAGTCAGTAACTATAACCATTTCAGTAGATGTTACTGCTATATCTTTTGGGTCAAACTTATCAAAACTTCTATTATAATTCCATTGGAGTTGTCCTACTTTATCTATCACCACCACCCTCCCTGGTTCACCGTGTAAGAGATCTACAACAAAGATATATTTGTTGTTAGTACAGATTCTGCGTGGCCATGTAAACAGTCTTTGATTATCTCCGTCATACTCGAAACATTGTTTAATATCTCCATTATGATCCATTAATACAACTCTTCTTACAATGTCATTACTAATTGTATTGAAGTCTGATTCACTTAACCCCAGATATATTTCATTTTGCTTGTTTATATGAACACCTAACGTATATAAAGGAGAAACCGTCACAAATGTCTTAGCTTGATTATCTGTGGTATAAAGCTGTAAATCTGTTTTTCCTGATGATACGAGTAAGTTTCCATTGTTCATCATAGCCATGTCAAACATCGAGAGGGTTATTTTTAATTCACTGCACTGGATTCTGTCCTTTTCTAATGCTACTTTTTGCAAAACATCACCCCAAGAAATTCCCATAAACGCTAAATTGTCATCACAATGACTGGTAACCAAAATATCAGGGGCAGATGAGGAACTCAGTGTTAGATTCAGCAGACTTTTCCTCTTTTCGAGTCCATCTTTTCTTTTTCTAACAGAATCTAGTTCTTTTTCAATTGTTTCCTCTCTTGGTTTCCTTAATTTATCAAATTTTGATTAAAGGCCATCAGCATATTTTACAATGGTATCTCTGATCTCTATAATTGTGTCTTTATTATCTGTAAATTGTTTATTCTCTTCAGACAATATGTGTTGCAGGTTCTCTCCTTGTTCCTCAAAAAAAGGAATGTCTGATTCAATTTTGCGTTTTATATCCCTTATATCTTCGAGTTTTTCCTTGTGAACTTTGTCCAGTTTACTGTACTTATGGTTGTGGTGATCTCCAATCAAGCAGTCACAACACACGGGCATATTGCAGTTTTTACAATGCAATACACACTTCTCATTACTATATTGTGCACAAGTCATTTTTTTCAAGTCGACTTTGCGAGTGGTGTCTATAGCAACTTCACTTCCACAGTCCTTCAGATTGATAGTTTCATGTTCAGTGGATGATTTACTTTTGGAGTGAATTCTTGAAGTACAAAATTGACATAAGAACAAATCACAGTTGATACACTTCCATTTAATTTCAGAAAATTCCTCACAGAATTGACATACTGAAATAGTCTGTGCTTTTAGTGTGGAAGTATAAAATGCCATTATGTGATCAAAACTAGAATGGCTTTGTTATGTTGATATATGTTGATATAATATATTAATAGTCGATTGTGGAACATATTTATACTATATCTTTTTTTATTTCGACCAAATTGAATATGGACCCAAAGATAACGTAAGGCCATGATAGTTAATATCTTTTGCTTTCAAAATAACGTGTTTCGAATTTGAACTGTTTGTTTATTTGACTTTTATGTATCTAAAACTGGAGGAGTAGTAAAAGTTAATTTGCCTTCACCTTTTACTTGTAATCTACTCCTCCAAATTTCATAACTTTAGATTTGATTTGTATGGTCTAACAAGACGGAATGATATCTTATTCATGTTATATGTTCAAGTCCAAATACAGTTACTATGATAAGGGTTATGTTCTTCTCATATATTTTATGATATTTTATGATGGTATGATATTGAACCCCTAACGGAAGGGATTGTGCTTGATTATTATATGATGAAGACATAATCTTTCAATCAGTTTAATTGAGGTCTGGAGCTTGCATGTCAGTAACTGCTAGTAGTCCTTTGTTAATTTATGTATCATTGTCATTTTGCTTAGTTTCTTTTGTTACCTATTCTGACATCGGACTCGGACTTCTTTTAAACTGAGTTTTACTGTGCGAATTGCTGTGTGTTTCTTTATTCTATATTGGCTAGAGGTATAGGGGGAGGGTTGAGATCTCACAAAACATGTTTAACCCCGCCGCATTTTTGCAAGTCAGGAGCCTCTGGCCTTTTTAAGTCTTGTATGTTTTTTAATTTTAGTTCATTTATATGTTTCGGAGTTTAGTATGACGTCCATTTTCTCTGAACCAGTACACGTTTTTATTTAGGGGCCAGTTGAGGCCCGCCTCCGGGTGCGGGATTTTCTCGCTGCGGTAAAGACCCATTGGTGGCCTTCGGATGTTTTCTGCTCTTTGGTCGGGTTGTTGTCTCTTTGACATATTCTCCATTTCCATTCTCAATTTTATTATGTATGTTGATGTTGATCAAATACATTATGTGTATGTTGACCATCACTTCAAATGTACTGTTTTCAGGTCAGGAACATTGTCATCTTCGCTAGCCAATGGAAATGATCCGGTCCCCTCCTCTGGATCGCAACCCTTGGTTAGCGAAGATGGATCAGACTTTCGTTACACTGTTTTTATACTTTAATGGTTTATTTTTTACAAATTGTGACTGCTTGGCTGGAGAGTTGTCTCATTGGCACTCAAACCACATCTTCTTATATCTATTTAAAGTGTTGACGGGAGATCTTTGTGCATCTGTTTAGTTTATTTTAAACCACCATGACATACTTCAAAGACACCAGTCTATCACTGAAAACTCCATGGTTTTATTTGTTTCAAAGTATATGGGTAAAATAAGCCATTTTGATACCCTTTTAGATGATATTGAAATATCTCCTGATACGTTATCTAGATTCTATAATTGTAATGGTATTGCAATGACGAATCGTGTACAATGAACATAAAATTCGCACACAAAGGTGTTTTATAAAAATAATGATAATGTATGATAATACATTATATAAGATCAATAAAACACGAGGATTACAATCCATGGACTTCGACTGCTCAATCTAGTTAAAATTGAATCTCAAATTTTGCTTCGATTAGTAAGCGAGCTACGATAAATCTGAATGTTTATCAGATCACGACTTACTTTTAGTATCTGAAAGTACTGCATGTGTGTAGGCTGTGATAAACGTATTAATACCCCGATGATGGTCATCATTTGTAATGGGTATCTTTCTTAAAATTATGCACTGTATATGAATAAAATCAAATGCGATCGAGTTGAGGAAAACCTGAAAGGAGATTGAGCACCCAAAAAGTAAAAGAATAAAGACATTTGGAAACGTCTAAATATAGGTGTGCATTGGTGCTTTATGCAGTAGAATGTGTCTGCGACATCAATGAGACCGCAGACATACAACAGATATTGCTAGTCTTGTATGCCGGTTTTTCGTGCTATGGACGCGCTGTCTCCAGCTTAATTATATACCATGTATACATGTAGTTACCCTAAGACAAGCGTCTTACTTTTTAAAAAGTTTCAACAAAGTCGATGAGTACCAACAGTATTTCATATATATATATCCTCGATAGTTAAAAATTTTGTGACTCTGTTGATCCAATATATCCCACAGAACTTTCCTGTTTTAAGTAACAACATTCCAGCTATACTGTGACCTGCATATAAATTATATATTTTCCAGTTGGTTCGATCAGTGGGTACAATATTCAAAGGGTTTTATTTCCAATCATGAATCCTTCATAGAGAGTTGTTGCTTGCATTCGGAAGCTACTGGATCAAGTGTACTTTGAAAATATTATCTTTAAAGGTACACTATATGAAGGTCGCCATCATGATTATGTTAACTATTTTGGAAATATGAGAAACATATACCAAATTCTTATAAGGTTTTGGATTTTATTCTTGTAATATATCCAATTCGTTAATACGCTGGAACTCTCTCACTTTCTTCTTTATTTTCTAAATATTTAAATACATTCTTGCATTTAATTTTTATTTAACCTTTCCGCATTTCAAATAAAAATGTAAAAAGTAAAAAATAGATAAAATCTGTAAGAACAAGAATAAAATGTTCAAACTTAACAGTGTTTAGTATCAATCTATCTTTATTTGTGCCTGAATAAATGAAATCATCTTGTAATCTGTGATAATGTACTTTCCAACCCGCCAAAACCATACAATGATTTCTCCCGCAGACCTAACCGGATGTTGACATTTGTCCGGAAGTATGGCGGAAGGTGGAGACGAGAATGAAGACAACCCGTTTTCTTTTAAGAAATTTGTTGTCCCAAAAGAAGCGGAGCAAAACAAATCAGAAGAAGACATAACTCCAACACAGAATGGTCAGGTCCTCGATATTTTGCCTGACATTGGTGATTCGTCAAACAAAAACCGGCGCAAAGACCGCGCAACCTTGGTCATATCTGATGATGGTAGGAAATGTTGGAAGGCAAACTCTACTTTGTTTAGTTTTATACCACAAAGAAATACTCATAAAAACTGCTTTAAAACACAGGTCAATCAACATACATTAACTCGTTGAAATTTGATTATAAGATAATAATTTTAGAGGCAGGTGGTACCTGAATATGACTGATTATCTCCGGTTGGATACTTTTCGGTGTTCAGATATACAAATTTTTGTTAAATTCACGTAATTTTGAGTAACAAACAGATTTATGACATTTAACGAAAAAAAATGGAATGATAGATAGGCTTCCATATGACAAACATGTAATTTTAGTTTGAGTTATTTCTGTTGTCTACTACTATTCACTTCTAAACTGATCCTATTTTCAGTTTTGATCATTTTTGGTCTCCGGTCCTTTTAAATGAGACATCAGGCCACAGACCACAATTAAATTCCCCTATTAGTTCTTTATAACGTTTTGTTTCATTAAAAAAATTGCACCTTGCATTTTTGTCAAATCTTTTGTGTGTGTAATGTATAGTACTAGTCCAAATATATATCCAAAATTCAGAAAGATTGAACCAATGACTCTTACAAATTTAGCCAATACACATCCATACCCCTATGGACAAGTCAAGAGATGTTCCGAAAACTGTAAATATCACCTTTTTGCCCCTGGCCTAATCACTCTTTCCATATCAAAATCAGTTAAAATACAACATCCAAAAGTTTATTTCACCTCTCTTCTTTTATTTCCACCCACAAAAAACTAAGAAATGAGTGGGGAAGAGAAAGAAAAAAAATTAAGAAAAAATACACTCTAATTAAAAGGAACTATATTCGTGGACAACGAAAAGCGGGATCATTAATTGTGGTCTTGGGCCTATTAGGGGTCTAAAACTTGACCAATTCTAATAAAACTTGGCATGATTTAAGCTTAGTGTATTATAAAACAGTTTACAAAGTTTCAAAGCCATATGATACCAATTATAAAAAATGAGGCATGTTTTATATCTGAACTTTGGGTGCTGAATTGTGGCGTTGAATTAGAACAATTTCAACTATCAAATTTGGGCTTCTAAAAACCAAAATATACCAAAACTTACATTTTTTAATGTTTCTATGTATAAGTTATCACCTATTAAAAGCAACAGATAGCATACTTCATGTTTCAGACTTATAAAAAATGGCCAGAAGTAAATTTTATATGAGCCTGTGCCAAAAAATAGAGGTTTTCAAATGATGTGAGGCCTTATATGAAATGTAATATTTTTCACTTACCACAATTTTCTGAAGTTGTTAAGTTATAAAAAAACCTTTTACATGTTATAAATGTACTTTTAATGGAAATATAAGTTTCAAATAGCATAACACATGTGAATAAAATTGTCTTCAGCAATGTCAAGCTTAAAAAAACAGGTTGTCAATTTAGGTCGTTCCCCACATTTGCATATTAAAAAGCATATAAATGATATGGTAGATAGAGATATGCTTCTTTTTGCTCAAATCTTTGTTTAGATATGATAAAACATGGAGCCTGGATGTAACATGACTGTCACTTTCAACTATATATGTAGACAGTATGATTTGAAGCAAAGTTATTTACTTTACTTTTTAAAACCGGCATGAAATTTCAGCCTCAAAAGGCCAATATTTTAACCACTAGCTATCAAACAAAATAAAATAAAGGTAGTCTGTGAAACAGACAAGGTCAAACAACCAGTAATAAGTGCTTTTGATACAGATTCAGTGAAATCTGCTAAAAGGAATTCAACTTGTATGTGCATAGAACCTCATTTATCACTTGCTTCATACTGACCGTTAGACTAAGACCATTAAAGCAGCACATTTTGCACTCTTATTCTGATTTTATCTACTTTTTTTTGTGTTCAGTGTTCAAAAATGAGTTAAACATCTACATTAGATACCACAAACACAAATAGAAAACCAGAAAAATCTGTCAGAGAGAAAGTAAGCATGCTACTTTTGTAAAAATATTGAAACAACTGAAAAAGTTCAATTTTGGGCATGTAGGCTGAAATGTCACTTTTTTACAAAATTTCTATCTAATAAAAGTGGAAATCATTTATTCTCATGTAGTTTGACAAATTAATACCAATAAATCATTCAGTGAAGTTGTCAAAGTACAAATTCAATATTTCCTGAATTCACCTCTTAGGCCACAGACCACAATTAAATTCCCCTATTAGTTCTTTATAACGTTTTGTTTCATTAAAAAAATTGCACCTTGCATTTTTGTCAAATCTTTTGTGTGTGTAATGTATAGTACTAGTCCAAAAATATATCCAAAATTCAGAAAGATTGAACCAATGACTCTTACAAATTTAGCCAATACACATCCATACCCCTATGGACAAGTCAAGAGATGTTCCGAAAACTGTAAATATCACCTTTTTGCACCTGGCCTAATCACTCTTTCCATATCAAAATCAGTTAAAATACAACATCCAAAAGTTTATTTCACCTCTCTTCTTTTATTTCCACCCACAAAAAACTAAGAAATGAGTGGGGAAGGGAAAGAAAAAAAATTAAGAAAAAATACACTCTAATTAAAAGGAACTATATTCGTGGGGACAACGAAAAGCGGGATCATTAATTGTGGTCTTGGGCCATCAGGTTGCAAGGTAAGATTTGAAAAAGTTGGAGACATCAATCCTGTAGTCCTGTAATATACCAGGGGAATTTCAAGTGCATTTGTTTCTAACCTTGATGATTTAAACGATTACGTGCATAGTCATTTAATCCATTTGTTTCTTACATTTTTTGGTCAACGTTGACAATTTTCACATAAACAATGTACTCGCAAAATAGTCATGTAGTCATTGATCCTGTATCGTTGAGATGTGTAAACAATACATTTGTATCTGCATCTATCGTTTAAATAATTATGAGCACTCACATGTTATTTTTTACAAAGTCATGGTCATTCATTTTCTGCACTTTTACCTGTTTGTTTACAGTGCATGTATTTAATCTATTTCTGTCTCACCACAAAGGATCTTTTTCTGATATTTTCTTTTTACTTATTTGGCTATATATTATTTTTTATTTTCAATTTTTAAAGGCAGTGCTTTAATGCCTTTCTAGTTGCCGGGTTAATCCTTCCTTCCGCGATATCCAACTTATCTACGTGGGGGGTCATTAGACTCCAAGTAGATCCGGAAATGTTGAATTCTCTCCTCTTCTTATTGCGATATAAAATGTTTTTTGTTTCATTTCATTTACATTGGGAAATAGAGAAACGATCATTGTGTTTTGTTAGTTTTAAAAACTTTTGATATATTAGTATTTTGCATTATAAGCAGTCAACCGATTGACAAACTAGAATTATTTGAATTCCGTGTGGAAAGAGCTCAGGTTAATTTCGAGTGTTATCTGCAATCTAGATGTTTATAAATCATTTCAGTCGTTGATATAATAATTAAAGGTCGACTGAACATGAATTATATTATACAATTTAAAGCGCATTTCTGTTTATGCACGTGAACCCGTCTAACGTTATTTTCGCAGTTATATAAAGTAGCAAATTATCGTTCCTGAATAGGTGGCGCCGTGGTAGCGGATCCTGTTCCTCTTCTTCCGGTTTCTGCACTGTGCAACTATTTCACTTTCAGTTATATTTTTAATTAACGATGCCAAATACTTGTTGTTGTGTACCTGGATGTCATTTAAGAGGAGGACATGCATTTCCAAATGACTTAAAAAGAAGGAAAAGTTGGATCAACGCCATGGCCCATACGCAGATTGGACGAGAACACGATCATATCGTGGAGTCCATCTCAATCAGCTGTTGTTTGCAAGGCACGTTTTACTGAAAAAGACTACGTGCAGGAAACTATTCATGGTAAAACTCTATTTTCTTTGTGAAATATATAGTTATATATGTAATCGCCATGCGAATAAACCAAAGTCTGTTTACAACCGCAATTATCGTTTTAGAATAAAAGGGGGTGGGTAATTCAAGACGTCATAATTTTTTGGATTACGATTCAATGTGATCTGTTTGAGATTTTTTGGTGATTGCTACAATTATAATGATTTCCTACAAGAGGTATATCATACTGAGAATTATTTTAGCAGTAATTATGCTAATGTAGTAATGACAGGAATGCATAAGCTATGCCTCATAGACTTTCTTGAAAAATATCAATGACAATGTTAACAGGAACAAAACAATGACATGCTCTCATCTATATTATAGTTATTTAGGTACAAACAATGTACGTTTGTTGCATAAGTCTCTCATTGTTTGTCCTTTGGATTTACATAACATACATTGAATCAGGCAAACATAGTTTTATCCAGATTGTAATGAATAAATCTAGTTAATATTTTGAGGATTTTACCAGCCCCTACGAGGACCTCTTACTTAAAGCTAAGGTGCCCTCCTTGCAGATTAGACGGATTAGAACAATGGCTCTAGAAACTTTTAAGATTATAAATAATATAGCTCCTGTGTGCTTACAAAATTTGGTGAGTGTCAAAAAATCTAAGTATTCTTTCCGGTATGTAAATATTCTAGATGTTCCACAGGTAAAGTCAACCCGTTACGGTAAAAAATCTTTCAAATTTGCTGCTGCTACTTTATGGAACAGCCTTCCAAACCATTTCAGGACTGAAAATAGTTTTTCACATTTTAAAAGTCTTGTTCAGTCCTGGAATGGTTTGGAATGTCGATGTTCTGCTTGCAGATAATTCTTGAGATGTTTATTATTTATGTTGCTTTTGTTTGCTCTGGTCTAGCATGTTTTATTTCATTTTAAATTTGTTGCTAAATTTTTATTGCATGCTATGTAAGTGAGATTTAACTTCGTATAACAGGTTGTTTTATATGTCAAATTAGACTGTTTTTATGTTATGTATATGTTTTTATATTCGGTCAAAAGCTCCTTAGAGCTTGTGTTGTGTCTTTTAACTTATGCCGAATCAAAATAAAGTTTTCTTATAGCCAGGTAGTACAAAGTATACATTGCTAATGGAAGTTCATTTAATTATAAAAAA